TGGCTTAGGTCATGATCTCAGGGTCCTGGTATTGAGCCCCGCATCAGGCTCCCTTCTTAGTGAGGAGTCTGCTTCTCCCTCCCTCTCTGCCTCTTCCCCCTACTCATGCTCTCTCTCTCAAATAAAAAAAATCTTTAAAATATAATAAAAATAAATAAAAAATAAAAATGGCAGAGGGACAGGGAAGGCCCTTTAGAGGAGGTGACTTCGATGCACAGGCAGGATGGGCTACAGAATGCATGGGGCACAGTACAACATGAAAATGTGGAGGCCCTTGTTCAAAAGTTGAGAATTTCAAGAGGGTGACAGCAGAGCTGACTACACAGGTCACACACCTTGAAACAGGCCCTGAGGGGGGTTTAAGGGCATGAGGGGGAAAGTGACCATTTCAGTTCAGAGAGAACAGCAAGCACAAAGGCCCAGAATGGGGATGCAAGTGTGAGGATTCTGGAAACATGAAGGCACAGGGGGAAGACAAAGGGCCCTTTGAAGATCATTCAAAAAGAGCTCCCCCCAAACCACAAAAGTAAACAGGCGCCTTTTCTATCCAGCTGCCTAGCTGGTGGCCTGGCAGGAAGAGGCCAGCATGGACCACATGGAGACCTTCGACGTGACACAGAGGCCAAGCGGCTCTCTGGAGAAACTGCCAGCAGCAGGGAGGATCCACGGATATATCTATGCCACTTCTTTGCTGTGGCTTCCACGTTAGTATAAACCCCCGGAATAAACTCCCCAGGTCTTAGTTCTCTGTCTGCGAAATGGGAAGAACTGCAAGAACTAGCTCAAACCCCTACTCCCTGCCTCCATATTGCAGAAACTGAGCCTCAAAAGGTTAGGGGATGTACCCGAGAGTGCAGAGCATTTAGCAGCTGATCAGAAAAAAATAATAATAATACAGGGGGATTCCTGGATTCTAACAGGGACTCTTTATCACCACCTTGGCCTTCTATGTCAGGCTTCATTTCCTCAATCCTCCAGCTGGTTGCAAGCCACCTGACCACATCTCAAAGTGGCCTGGGCATTTCTACCCTGTACAAGGGAAAAAGCCCAGCAGTGGCCTTCCACAAAGCAACACTCTGGAGGGTTTGGGGGGGTGGGTTGGGAGGTCCCCCTGAACATTTCTTCAGAGTTGATCCAAGACGCTACCAATGGATGTGAGGAAAAGGGTCAATGGGGGGCTGCCAAACACCAGGCTATTAAGGGTCCCAAAGATGCCAAAATACCAAGTCAAAAACCCTACAAGAGGATAATGGAACACTCGGCTTCATTCTGATATCATTGTTTCCAACAGGCTGGAACACACAGGTTATGATGTCATTTTTTTCATCCAACCAACCACCAGAGACAGCAGCACCAGGACAAGTGTCTAAGTGTCTAAGTGAAGATACCGCCCCATGGGATTCTCATTCCAGGTCATTAGGAACAATGAACCCACACTGGTCTCCTCCAGCAGAGGCCCCTCATCTGGGGACCCTACTGGAGCTGGAAATGTTCCTCACAGAAATGCCAGTATCTTGGGAGGCACCAGCAGAACTACCTGAGCTGTCCTAGGTACCAAAATCCTAAATTCCACACTCTGGAAAGCACACAGATTGGGGGCAAAATAACTATATGCCCAGTGAGATTGGCGACCAGGGGTCACACTTCAGGGGGCTGGTCCAGCCTCCTCATGCTGTAGATGAGGAGGCAGAGGTTCAGAGAGGGTAAGGGACCCACCCAAGGTCACACAGCACACTGGTCCTCCTTGTGCCCTATGTGGCCCTTTGCATCTCCCACTACCCCACAGTTTATAAAAAACCAACATCCCTCTGCCCCCCTCCCCCCAGTCCTGATAAAAGATTTACCTACAATGCTAAGTTTCTATGTCATGAAGATACAAAGGCAGAAAACTCTTTTACTATTTAGGCACACTGTCATGCAAAGACAGGCCCTTAGTTAAATATCTTTTGCCTTCATAAATTGACCAGCTCAAAAAAGCTGTGGTTTAAGCACAAACCAGCAAAGACCCCTAAAAATGGAGGTGGAAGACAGTGAGTAGCGGGGAGACAGTGGGAGACAGTGGGGAGACTTGCCCCAGCTCCATATTTTAACCTACCATTTACTGAGTGCTTCATTCTCTTGCTTAATACCTTAGACACGTTAGTTCGTTTGATCCTCACAACTTTCTAGGAATCCAAAACTCGGGAGAAAATAATACTAGTAATAATGTTGCTATTTGGGCCTACCGTCTTGATAAGTTTTTAATTAGCATCGGTAGAAATAATTCACATAGGGCGCCTGGGTGGCTCAGTCATTAAGCGTCTGCCTTCGGCTCAGGTCATGATCCCAGGGTCCTGGAATCGAGTCCCACATCGGGCTCCTTGCTCCACGGGAAGACTGCTTCTCCCTCTCCCTCTCTCCCTGCTTGTGTTCCCTCTCTCGCTGTCTCTCTCTGTCAAATAAATAAATAAATTCTTTAAAAAAAAAAAAAAGAAATAATTCACATGGTTGACTTCTTATCAATTAGGGCTGACGCTGGGCTGATGTAATAGCCAGCAGCCCCATGACACCATTTCAATTTCAAGGAATTAGGGCGCCTGGGTGGCTCAGATGGTTAAGCGACTGCCTTCGGCTCAGGTCGTGATCCCAGAGTCCTGGGATTGAGTCCCGCATCGGGCTCCCTGCTCCTTGGGAGCCTGCTTCTCCCTCTGCCTCTCTCTCTCTCTATGAATGAATAAATAAAATCTTTTAAAAAAATAAAATAAATTTCAAGGAATTAAAATTAAATTTTTAAGTCCACTTCTTCCATCACACTAGCCACATGTCAATCTCCATAGTCACATGTGACTAACGGCTACCATATTGGACAGCACAGTTCTAGAACATTCCATTCTAGAACATTCCCTCATGGCAGAAAGTGCTGTTGGCCTGCTCAAGTCTAATTTGAAAGTTGCCTCTTCCAAGAGCTCTCCACTGACCTGACCACCTCATTCTAAAATAGATCCCCTCAGGTACTCCCTCTCCTGTACCTTGCCTTCCTCCTGGCATTGGACACACTGAGAGATGATCTTATCGGTTTATCTGTTTATTTGTACTTTGCCCATCTCCCTGCTGGGGCGCTCCTTGAAAGTAGCAACATATCCATCTTGCTTCCTGCTGGGGCTGTTGTGATAAATGTATCTTGCCACCTGTCCTACTTAGATACCACTTAGCAACTCCGGGTTGGACATCCACTTCTAACATAATCTCTGATGTTTGTCAGTTTGGGTGAATTCGTTTAAACTGCTTTTCCCTAATCCCTGTCGAAACTGTCACACTGAAGTTAAGAACCGGTTCAGAGGAGTGTGAATGTTGGCCATCACTGGAGGGACCACACCGCAGCATGGTGGACCCATGTATGCAGTCTGGCGGACCTGGCCCCGAAGCTCGGCTCTGCCCCTTCCCAGCTGTGTGATCTTGGGAAAGGTACTTCACCTCTGAGCCCCAGCTTTATCATCTGCAAAATGGGGATCCACCGCCACCAGCCTTATACTGTTATCCTAAGGGACCAATGGATAATTGATATAAACTGTAAAGTGATGGGTGAAGTGGGTGCTGGGGGGCGGGGGACAAAGAACAAGCCAAGAAAAGGAGCTGTAGGGGAATCCACTGCTTATTAAGTACCTACTCTGCACCCAACTCCATGCATACTTTACAAACATCATCCCACTGAATCCCGTGAGCATTTTCCAGATGAGGAACTGAGGCCAGGAGAGGTGAATGCCATGACCAAGGTCACACAGTGGGGGGGTGGCAGAGCCAAGGTTGAACCAACTCTGGTTCTGACACTTTGTACCAGACCCTCAAGCCTTCCCTTCCTTGAACCCTTCCAGAAGCTCAAACTAGTTTCCCCCTGAAGATTGTCAGGACGGGGAACACTAGCCTTTTCTCTTTTCTCTACCTTCTACTTCCAGTCACCAGGGTTCAAATTAAGCTCCCTGGGGGCGCCTGGGTGGCTCAGTTGGTTAAGCGACTGCCTTCGGCTCAGGTCATGATCCTGGAGTCCCGGGATTGAGTCCCGCATCGGGCTCCCTGCTCGGCAGGGAGTCTGCTTCTCCCTCTGACCCAACTCTCTCTCTCTCTCTCTCTCTATCTCATTCTCTCAAATAAAAAAAAAAAGAAAAGAATTTTAAAAAATTTTAAAACAAATTAAGCTCCCTGGGAACATGGGTGCCTATGGATGAAGCCACCTCCTCGTCCAGGCTTTTCACGTTTGGGAGAGAGAGTACAAGAGGTGCTGAAAAGAAGAGCCAGTGAGGTTCTATCCCCAGAGGAGGGAACAGACGAGAAGGAGGGAAGAGACACTGGAAGGGGGGCAGAGAGCTTTCCGACTGGCAAAGTGATGGTTGATGGCTCTTTTCTTTTCCCTGCTTGTCTGTTTCCCGAGTTTTCCACCCGGAACTACTATATTCTGTTTGTAACTGGGGAAGGGAGGTGGCAAAGCTTGAACACAAGGACAAAAACAAAGCCACCAACTGCACACCTAGGACATACTCCCACCCATAGTGGACCGACGGGCATTGGTTTGCAGCGAATGTATCTGAGTTTCTGCTTTGAAGGCACCCCGAGAGGAAGGCATGTATTCCAGTTGTCAGTTACCCGTTGAAAGGACCAACGAACAAATAAATGAATGTCTCTTCAGGAGGCAGGGAAACTGTCCCTCCTTCACTGTCCCGGGTGGCTCAGGTCAGCCTTCATGCATTCGGCTTAAATTATGATAGTCACACACAAGGCTGTCTTCCCCAACAAGGCCAAGCTCTTCTAAAAGCAGTCTCCTGGCACACGGCCCTGTACATGCAGTAGATGCTCAATAAATAATTTTGAAAGGAAGGAAGGAAGAAGGCAAGGCTTATGGTTTCTGCATTTCCCGTAACTACCCTCAAGACACGTGGGCATCAGCGGACGGCTTGACTGAGTGGGGAGGGGGCAGCCCCCCACCCTAACTCTGCGCCTCTCACTTATGAGGACTTAGGTCACGTTACCTTATAGCAGGGACTGGGTTCTCGAACTCGCCTACAGTCTGAGCAGCCTCCAGGGACAGGGTCCCCAGGCTGGCCCGGCTGCCCTTCCGGGAAGACTCTCGGAACAAGCCAGTGCCAGGGTCCTCATCGGAGGAATTGTCATCAAAGGATCCCAGGATGAAGTTGGTCATCAGCTGCCTCTTGATGTACTCCTGCTTTTCGTCTTTTTTGGAGAGGGGTCTGGCTCGCTGGCCCTGGGGCTTGGCTGAAGATGACAGGCCATTGGTATCTGGGGTCTTCAGGCCTTTGGTCCCTGTCCCATTGGCTTGGAGCACTGCGGGGGTGCTATCTGAGGAAGAGGGATTTCCTGGGGGGTTCTGGTGTGGGGGTGGCCTGGAAGTTCTTTGCCGACAGGCATCTTTGGGACCTCTGTGGGAGGCTGGCTCAGCCTGGTCAGGAGTCTCTGGCAGAGGGCTGCGGTCCTCAATTTTCTGGGGTGGCTCCCCTGAGCTGTCTGAGGCTGGAAAGGGCTCCCGGCTTGGGATAGAGCTCCCTTCTGATTTACTCTTGGTGACTTGCTTTGAGTCCGTCATTTTCCCCCAGATTTTTAACCAGGAAAAGGTCAAGCAGGAGAAAATCAAACAAGATAGAAAAAGAAGCAATATCATTCAAAAAACCTGTAAGGAAAAAAAGGAAAGACATTTTAGAGTCTACGAAATTGAGTTATTTCCTCTTAAAGGGCCTCACGGCAGCTGGGGTTCTGTGTATTCAGCTGGGAGCACCAGAGGCGAAAGGCAGTGGACAAAGCAGCCCTGCCCACCATGTTGTCTGTGGCCCTGGGCACATTCCTGAACGCCTCTGGATGTCAGTTTCTCACCTCTAATTTGGGTACATGAACACATGCTCACCAAAAATCAGAAACATGCATGGAAGAGAGAAACAGATCATGCCTGCTAAAGGACTCTTGTTATTGACTCATAAAACCCAGAAAGTAGAAACAATCCAAATGTCCATTAACTGAAAAATGGATTAAAAAAAAGGTGATCTATTCATACAATGGAATATCACACAGTTGTAAATAAAAGGAATGGAGGGGCACTTGGGTGGCTCAGTTGTTAAGCATCTGCCTTTGGCTCAGGTCATGATCCTAGGGTCCTGGGATCGAGCCCCATGTCGGGCTTCCTGCTCAGTGGAGGGTCTGCTTCTCCCTCTCCCTCTGCCTCTCCCCCTGCTTGCGCGCTTTCTCTCTCAAATGAATACATTTAAAAAAATCTTTTTTTTTAAAGATTTTGTTTATTTGACAGACAAAGCGAGAGAGGGAACACAAGCAGAGGGAGTGGGAGAGGGAGAAGCAGGCTTTCTGTTGAGCAGGGAGCCCAATGTGGGGCTCGATCCCAGGATCCTGAGATCATGACCTGAGCTGAAGGCAGACGCTTAACAACTGAGCCACCCAGGCGCCCCGATAAAAAAAAATCTTAAAAAGAAAAAAAAAGGAATGGATCACTGGAATTGCTACAACATGGACGAATCTTGAAAACATTATGTCAAGTGAAAGAAACCAGTCCTAAAAGACAACACTGTACGATTCCCTATATCCCAGAATAGGCAAATTCATAGACACAGAAATATTAGTGGTTGCCTAGGGCTGGTGGGATGGAGCTAAAGGGTACAGGTTCTGTTTGGAGGGTGAAAATGTTCTAAAACTGTAGTGATAGAAAAAATAAAATAAAGTAAATATAAAATAAAATAAATAAAATTGTAGTGATGGTTGCACAACTCTGTGAATGTACTGAAGTATATAGTTTACATGAGTGAACTGGATGGTATATGAATTATATCTCAATAAAGCTGCAATCCAAAAAGAAACAAAAGACCCTTCACTATATTCCAATTCATAGATATAAACAGACTGTTGCTTTTGTCATCATCATCTTCATCATCACCACCATCATCATCATTGTATTCCTCTATTACTGTCAGAATCATCATCATGGTTCTGGAAGGAGGAAGGGCACGTTGCCTTATCTTCTTCCTAGCACTAGTATTGCTGGCATGGGGTATGCTTATAATTAGAATGAAAACCCAGCAAGGCCAAGGGGAGTCTGTTCTGTTCCAGGGTCTAGAACAGTATCCAGTAACAAGTGAGAGCCTGGGGCACCTGGGTGGCTCAGATGGTTAAGCATCTGACTTCAGCTCAAGCTGTGATCTCCAGGTCCTGGGATCAAGCCCCAAGTTGGGCTCTCTGTTCAGCAGGCAGTCTGCTTCTCCCTTACCCTCCACCTCTCCCCCTGCCCCTGCTCATGTTCTCTCTCTCTCCCTTTTCAAATCAATAAATATAGTCTTTTTTAAAAAGTGAGAGCTTAACAAAAGACTGAAATTAATTTTGTCAAATACATGAATTCAGATTTCTTACCATGCCTCTTCCTGCCACACTAACTCTGTCCTATTAATGAGTAGATCATTGCTATTTGAAGTAAATATTGTTGGGGCCCCTGGGTGGCTCAGTCATTGAGCGTTTGCCTTTGGCTCAGGTCATGATCCCAGGGTCCTGAGATCGGGCCCTGCATCGGGCTCCCGGCTCGGCAGGAAGCTTCCTTCTCCCTCTGCCACTACCCCTGCTTGTGTTCCCTCTCTCGTTATGTCTCTGTCAAATAAATAAAATCTTTTTTTTTAAATGAAGTAAATATTGTTTTTAAGAATATTTGAGAGAGAGAGAGAGAGAGCACAAGCAGGGGGACGGGCAGAGGGAGAAGCAGATGCCTCACTGAATTGGGAGCCTGATGCAAGGCTCGATCCCCAGATTCCGGGATCATGACCTGAGCCGAAGGCATATGCTTAACTGACTGAGCCCTACAGGCGCCCCAGAAGTAAATATTTTTAAAGAAGCAAACAAAAACACAAATGAACATGTTGAAATTTCAGAACAACAGAAGTATTAAAAAATAAAAAGCAGGATCGCAAAGTTCAAGCATATCAATTTAGTATCTAAAAGGTTTTTTCTTTTTAAATTTCAACATTATGTTCTTAAGGGGATAAGTTCTCAAGTTTTCCCAGAACTGCATGATCTGAATACTTCCTGCAGACTTTGTACAACAGAATTTGCCGAAATGTTGTCAAGGGTATTTTCCAAGTTATACCTAGGATCAAGGGGGTTTGTCTTTTAAGGCCATCAAGTTTCTTTTTAAAGAAAAGCCAGTCAAGGGTGGTTCAGCGTCAATCAACGTAACAAACCACGTTCACTGAACAAAGAGGGAAACAACATGATCACCTCAATTAACACCAAAAAAAGCATTTGGCAAAATACAACACCCTTTCGTGATAAAAAAAAAAGTCAGAAAAGTAGGAACAGAAAGGAACTTCAATGTAATAAGGCACACTCATGAAAAACCTACAGCTCACATATATTCTGTGGTGAAAAACTGGAAGCTTTTCCCCTAAGATCAGGAACAAGACAAGGATGCTCACTTTTACTACTGCTATTAAACATTGTACTGAAGGTCCGAGCCAAAGCAATTAGACAAGAAAAAGAAATAAAAGCCATTCAAATTGGAAACAAAGAGATAAAATCATCTCTAATCATAGTCGGCATGATCGTATACAGGTTTCCCTGCCACCCAAAAGTAGAGAGGTTCTTATGAAAGCTTTCCTAAGTTGAAATGGCATAAAGCAAAGAAGAAATTACCGTTAATTTATATGGAAACATTTTTGAGCATTCCTAGACCCATAAAATAACCTCTCTTTTCTGGGTAGCTTAGGACACATCTTGCTAATGGATGCACAAAATAAATCAAGACAAAGCTCAGATGCTCACAGACATAGTTCAAAGCTATAGTGGCTTGAGGCTGAGATGCTGAGTGTAGTTCTTGCCAAAGGAGCTTAGCGGTGCTACGGCCACTGCTCAGGGTATGTGCTGCCTCTTTAACAGCTCTCTGCAAAACAAACGCTGAATGCCATTTTCACTTTTCACCTTTTCTCCTAAAAGCAAAAATCCTCTTCTGATTTCTTCCGGTTAGCAAAAACAGCTACTAATGTAGATCTAATGTAGGTCTTTTACAAAAGCAAAGTGGCATAACGTGAACTTTCAAAAAGCGGGAGATACCTGTGTATAGAAAATCCTAAAGAATCCACACATACAAAAAAACCCAAATAGGAGTAATAAACAAGCTAAGCAAAATTGTAGGATACAAGATCAATTCATTGTGTTTCTATGTACCAACAATGAACGATCTGAAAAGAAAATTAAGAAAACAATTCCAGGGGCACCTGGGTGGCTCAGTCGGTTAAGCATCTGCCTTTGGCTCAGGTCGTGATACCAGGGTCCTGGGATCGAGCCCCCCATTGGGCTCCCTGCTCAGTTGGGAGCCTGCTTCTCCCTCTCCCTCTCCCCCGTTTGTGCACTCGCATGCTCTCTCTCTCAAATAAATAAAATCTTAAAAAAAAGAAAACAATTCCATTTATAATAGCATCCAAAAAAAATAAAATATCTAGGAATAAATTTAACCAAGGAGGTGAAAGACCTGCACATTGTGCTGGTGCACAAAACATTGCTGAAAGAAATTAAAGAAGACCTAAATAAATGCAAGCCATCCCATGCTCATGGATTGGAAGACTTTGTATTGTTAAGGTGGCCCCACTACCTGAAGCAAGATACCGATATAGAACTGCAAGGGAACCTAAATAGCCAAAACAATCTTAAAAAAGAAAAAAGTTGGAGGACTGACACTTCCCAATTTCAAAACTTACTGTGAAACTACAGTCAAAATAGTGCGGTACTGGCATAAGGACACACATCTAGACCAATGGAACAGAAAGAAAAGTCCCAAAATAAACCCATAAAACTATGGCCAGTAGATTTTTGATGAAGATATCAAGACCATTCGATGGCAGGGAGGGGAACTTGGACGGTCAGAAGAGCGTGCAACTCTTAACCTCAGGGTTGTGAGTTCAAACCTCATGTTGGGTATAGACATTACTAAAGAACATAAATAAACTTTAAAAAAATTAAAAAAAAAAGATGAGTCAAAGAGGAAAGAATAGTCTCTTCAACATACGGTTCTGGGACAACTGATTTCCACAAGCAAAAGAATGAGGTTGGACTCCTAACTTAGACCATACACAAAAACTAACTCAAAATGAGTCAACGACTAGGGCGCCTGGGTGGCTCAGTTGGTTAAGCATCTGACTCTTGATTTCGGCTCAGGTCATGATCTCAGGGTCGTCAGACTGAGCCTCCCGCGCCCCCCCCCCCCCCCCCCCCCCCCCCCGCCTCCCATCGGGCTCTGTGCTCAGTATGGAGTCTGTTTGAGATTCTCTCTCCCTCTGCCCCTCCTGCTCATGCTCTCACTCTCTCTAAAATAAATAAAATAAATAAATCTTTTTTAAAAAATAAGGTTAAGTCAACAACCTAAATATAAGAACTAAAACCACAAAAAGTTTAAAAGAAAACATAAGAGTAAATTGTCGTGACCTTGCAGTTGGCAATGGATTCTCAGATGTGACACCAGAAGCATAAGCATAAAGAAAAAAATAGATAAAGTGGGCCTCATTCAAATTAAACACTTTTGTGATCAAAGGGCACTCTCAAGAAAGTGAAAAGACAGCTTACAGAATGGGAGAAAATATTTGTTAAAACACATATTTGATAACGGTTTAGTACCCAGAGTATGTA